AATTTGATATTCCCGAGGGAAAACAAAAGTATTGGTATAGATGGCGCTGTATGTATTGGTATATGTCACATAGACTACTTTTTATCCTTTTGTGACGCGAGCGAAGCCGCGGGTAAAAGCTAGTAACTGAATGATATTGCAGCATCATCGACACCCTGCTGGAGACGATCCGCGCGGGCGACGCGGCGCGGCAGCGCGCGGCGGCGGCGCTGCTGTGTGCGTACGTGTCGCACTCGCGCGCCGAGCTGGCGCCGCACGTGGCGCAGCTCATCCGCGGCCTCGTGCTGCTGCTGGCGGGCGCCGAGCGCGACGTGCTGCTCATGGCGTGGGAGGCGCTGGGCGCGCTCACCAAGTCGCTGGACCCCGAGCGCCAGATCGCGCACGTGTCGGACGTGCGCCAGGCCGTGCGCTACGCCGCCGCCGACCTCAAGCCCGACCAGTTGCTGCCCGGCTTCTGTCTGCCCAAGGTCGACTTCTGTCCTGCGCTCGCCGTTTCATCCTGTCCTTCGTTCCATATGACACTGACGTCTTCCACCTCTCCGTGCAGGGTCTGGCTCCGATCCTGCCGCTGTTCCGCGAGTCTATATTGAATGGTCTACCTGAAGACAAGGAGAACGCGGCGCTCATGCTGGGCGAGATCATCAGACTGACTTCTGCAGCCGCCATCCAGCCCTCCGTAGTACATATCACGGGGCCGCTCATCCGTATCTTGGGAGACAGGTTCAACTCTAGCGTGAAGGCAGCCGTGCTCGAGACATTGGCCACTTTACTCACGAAGGTAACATTTCCTTCCTTGGAGACAACTGATCTCCACACTAACATTTCCCACATTTAAAATATCTAAGTAGTTACACTATGATGTAGAACGAAACAATGACGTGGGATGCATTGCTATCTATTACCATACATGATAGTCTAGTCTTTGAAAATCTGCAATATTGTAAATATAAATAGTTACATCTAATTCTAAGGGGTTTTGTAGAAATATTTTTATTTTTAGATGATAACTATTACTTTATTGGCCCTGCTGTAGCTCGTATAACTCTGTTGAATTTAAGATTATTTTTGTAGCGATGTTAATCCTTCAAAAGCATACCAATGCAATGCAAACGATTGTTGTAGGTGGGAGTGATGCTGAAGCAGTTCTTGCCACAACTGCAAACGACGTTCTTGAAGGCTCTGAACGACCCGAACCGACCCGTGCGCATCAAGGCGTGCCTGGCACTGTCGCAGCTCGTCGTCATCCACTCGCGCGCCGACCCTCTGTTCTTGGAGATGCACAACACCATGAAGAACGTGGAGGACCCGCTCATCAAGGAGACCATGCTGCAGGCGCTGCGCGGCGTCATCTCCGCCGGCGGAGACAAGATGACGGCCGCCACGGCGCTGGCCATCCTGCCCACGCTCAGCAGCCCGGCGCTGCTGGCGCACCCCGAGGACCCGCCTCGCTCGCAGGCGGCCGGCTGCCTGGGCGCGCTGCTGCACTGCCTGCCGGCGGCGCAGCAGGACGCCGCGCTGGCGCACCACGTGCTGGCCGCCAGCGACGCCGAGCTGCTGGCGCACGGCCGCTCCGCCGCGCTCTTCGTGGCGCTCAAGGAGACGCCCCACGTCGTCTACAAAGACGAGGACAAGGTGGACAAGGCGCTGCTGGCGCTGCTGGCCAGCGACAAGGTGGCCATTGCCTGCAACGGGCTCCGCGCCATGGGCTACCTAATGCGCCACTTGCTCAAGGAGGGCCGGCCCGTGCCGCCCGCCATTCTCTCGCAGTTTGTCAGAGTGAGTTGATAGTCTCCTATCATTCTAATAAGCCAGCTACACCCATACGGTTTCGCCCCCTCCATGGCCCGTATTAATCGTAGCATAATGTTTTAGAAACAAGCAATTCAGCTTTATATGTATTTTATTACAGGTGTAGATAATCACGCATTCCTATGTTCACCAAGTCCAATGCACACTTCAATAACTCTCAATTAAATATAACAATCCTTACTAATATTATAAATCGGAAAATGAGTTTGTTTGTTTGTTCCGCTTTCACGCCGTAACTACTGAACCGATTGCTTTGAATTTTTGCAGAAGTAAAGTTAGAAGTCCGGATTAAATAATAGAGTACTTTTTATCCCAGAATAAATTGATATTCCCGATGGAAAACAAAAGTATTAGTATAGATGGCGCTGTGTGTATATGTCACATAGGCTTCTTTTTAATTTTTTGTGATGCGAGCAAAGCAGCGTGTAAAAGCTAGTCTCAAATAAATATAAATAATAGTACTTATAGTTGATTGAACTTGTCTATGTAACTTTATTGAATATAACTATACATTAAAGAAAGTCGGGTTAGTAAGACTATTTATAACTCTAAAACAGCTAAAGCAGTTTGGCTAAAAAGGTAGGGACGTATGTAGACGTAGTTTGGTAGGGACATAGAACCAGGTACCAGGAGACGGACATACTTTTTGTCCAAGGATTTCCCGGGAAAAAACGCACTTGCGCGTACAAAATCGTAGGCAGAAGCTAGTAGGTAAATTAATAGTGTATAACTATGTAGAGATATAATTCTGACACATTTTGCACGAACCATAAGGTTCGTGCAAAATGTGTGAGATATAAATCTCAATACGATTTGATAGAGTATGAACCACCCGAGCAACGAAGTGAAGCAGCTGATGGCGCGCGCGGCCACGATGCTCGGCCGTGAGGCGGAGCTCAGCGCCAGCGGACCCAGCGCAGAGCTGCTGCGGGCGCTGTTGCCGGCGCTGGTCAACGGCACCAAGGAGAAGAACACCTACGTCAGGGCCAACGCAGAGATAGCACTGCGGGCTGTGTTGAGACTGCCACAAGATGAACAGTTCCACCTGGTCAGTACATGCAACACAAGCTTGGTCTTACTTTACAATCTCCTAAATGCAATACTGAACTGTATGATTGTGGCTGAGTGATTTCGATTCCTACACGGAACAAATCTTCGTATGATCCACAAATTGTTATTCACGTTGGGGTGCGATATTCGTATGAAATTATGTAAGCATACACTCAAACACATGAGTAAGAAATAGTTTGGGGTAATGTTTAAAAAAAATGTTCTCCTGTACTGACCGTAAATTGTTTATACCGAGAACACCGTATAGCCAACGGACGTGCGAATTGTCACGTCTCGCATTACCACCCATGATTACTTACACAAACACTTCCGAGAAGCGACGATATTAGTAAAGATTTGTATCAAGTTGTTATTTGTATCACGTGATATATGTATATCTATGTAGATAACGAGGTAATGTAGTGTGGATAAAATATTCAAGTCCTATACTTACAACAACAAACATGACCTAAAATTCTTATTCAGCTTGGTCAGCTCCAAGTTGTATTAGTTTATTGTCCTTAAAGTTATTTTCTTTTTCGATCTATGACCCAGTTTTGGTGATACATTGTCCTCACACAGTTGAACCGACAAAACTATGTAACTAGAGAATTGTATTGTGAACCTGATTGAAAAAGAAGTAACCTTGGAACACACATTGGAATGAACAAATCGCTTCTCTTTTAATTTTTAACCGACTTCAAAAAAAGGAAGAGTTTCTCAATTCGACCGTATATATGCTTTTTTGGTTGAAGTTCAAAAGTGCTTACCTGTTCTAAGGAATAAATGATTTTGACTTTATTATAAAAATTTTATTGTCACTTGATTAACAAAAGACAGTTATGCTTGGGTGGGTCACCAAGTAAAAGTACGAGTCTAATTTAAATTAATGAAAGTAAAGTAAATAAAGGTGATGTATATTTGTAAATGCATAATGATTGTGTGTGTAGCAATGCATGGCGTTGCTAGAGGAGGGCGCGCGGGAGGCGCTGGGCGACGTGGTGGCGCGGGTGCTGCGCCGGAACATCGCCGACGGCCGCGACGAGGACCTCGACTGCACGCTCCTTACCTGAGACCCACACACTACGCCTTGGGTCCTGGACTACACACTGATACTAATTTTTAATTTGTTATACAAACTTCTTACTTGTTTTCTTAATCCCTGTAAATATCTGCCAGTCACTTTCATGTGCTGTTATTTTTTATAAAAAATAAATTAATTAATATTTTATACAAATTTTACTAGACTAGAACCATTAATTTTAAAAATGCAATTATTAATATAATGTATAAAATATTAGCAGGAAAATTGAGATGTTACATCCGTACCATTTGTGAAACTACACTAGAAAATGAATTATATTTCTGTCAAAACACTAATCCAGATATATAAATGACTGAGTACTGTTAATGTAATACCCAGGGAATCAAACAAAATTAAAGTGGTAATAAATAAATTACTTAAAAATGGCATAGAACTGTATTTCTGTCTGGTAAAGTACAATCAAAATTAATCACAATACATGGTAACCCAAGATTCAATAAAATTATTGATAGCATTCCATATGATATTATCTACAACATGAAAAAATTATTGAATTCCCTAATATGACATCATGCTGAATGTTGTTATCTCTGTAATATTAACAGAATATAAATGTATCAAACTGAATAAACAACACTAAATATTAAACTGACTGTTTATCTTATAACAAACCAGTTTGATTTAATGATTCAAGTTGTACAAAATTACATATTCACTCCATGATTGTATTACTCCAAGATTGTTATAAAACTTATGCAAATTTGTTCTCTTAGATACATAATAGCAAAATCAGGAATGTTACATAAAGAAGTCTTTATATCAATTACTTCCTAACACGGACCTACAACTCTTTATCTTTATTCTTCTTTGTGAAGCCTCTTTCCTGGACCAATTCATTGCACTGCTGACGAGTCAGTTGCGACAATGGTAGGCGTTCTAGTTCGCGGTCATTTTCTCCAAGCAGCACCAGCTCCGGGGGTGCTCCACTGATGAAATTAACTTCCACACGCTCATATTTAGGAGCGTCATCCATGACAAATCTTTTCACCTCCGGTAGACGATTCAGTGAGCATCCTCTGCAAGTCTAAAAAAGATATTAAATTAATACCAAAGTTATTGCAAGGAATTCTTACTCCAATATTATCAATAGGTAGGCGTCAAGTAGCTAACCTCAATTCTTGCCGAAACAATATCTGAATTTTCATATGCGAAACTTGTAGCTAAAATAGCACAAATAGCTAGTAACGTAAACTTCATTTTGATAAAAGTAGATTTATCTGCCTAGTCGAACAGAATAAAACTGAACTTAGATCGTGATTAATGATTCTTTATAAATCAGACCGAGTAATCTGATTTGATAACAATCGAAGCACCGAAATGTCATCAGTCATGTCATGAATAAAATGATGACAACCTTTTGACTATGTTGACCATAGATGAATAATAGATGTTTAGGGACACGAAAAAAGTATCGATGCTTCGTAGGATCGATACATTATCATTCGATACCGATACTTTTGTACTCGATGGTTTTACTCAACGAGTACTTTTGCCCAGGTATCGTATCGAATGAAACATTTAGTTTAACAGCGCTATATCTAGCTCACTAGTTGAAATCTTTTTGAGATATTTGATCGTTTGAATGCTTTTTTTACCGTCCTGTCGTTCGCACCTCAATTCCCAAAATTATATAGAACGTTTAATTTTATACCACATGAATATATAATATCCATTCTTGCGACATCAAAGCCTTCAGATTCAGAACGATTACTTTCTTAAGCAAGAAGTACCAACATAAAAATCCAAAAGCGCTTATCTCCATAAAGGCTCAACAAACTTCTATTTTTAAGTGACTGTTTAGAGGAGGAATGAGATCTTTAATCTACTACGTGGGTGAAACCGCAGGACACTGCTACTATTTTATATCCCTCAAATAACTTATAATTGTTTCCGTTTTCTATATTTTCGATGTGTTTCATGCATTCCATTTAATTTTTTATCTATTAGGTAATTAATCAAAAATTTTGTATACATACCAATTATTTTTTTGCCGAACTGAAACTGAAGTAAAACTGCCATCACTTACTGACCTATGCTCTATACAAATTTTAATCTAAGAAAGTACTCGATACCTTGAAGTATCGATACTTTTGTTTCGATACTTTAATGAGTACGATACTTTTTTTATCGATTCTACTCATGAGTACGGTATCGATACTTTTGCTTCGATACCGTTTCCTTAAAGATGTTAACAACAGAATGACGTTTGCTGTCAAATATCTGAGGTTTCGGTTTAGAGCATAGATTTATAAATATAACAAGAAATACATAGCTCTATGTACTACATATTAACTTGGAAAAATAATCTCTTTTTTTATGTTATCTACGGCTATTATAATGACTTTGTCACCATTCAGTCACTGTCAATTCCATTCCAGAGAATAAATATATCTGTCAATACTATCAGTCACCACTCACTCACTGTTTTATTTTAGAATTTTGTTTTGTTTGTCGTGTTCGGTCGTTTGTTTGTTGCAAAGAGTTTAATAAGTTTAAGAGCTGCAATTACATCTTATAAGTGTGTTTGAAATTTAAACGAGATTTATAATTTAAATTGAAATATTTTTTTTTTTTAAAAAGCTGTGTTAAACTTATTTTTTACAATGCAAAGAGAACACAGGGATGCAATCCAAAGTAATTTTAGCTCCCTGGTGGAGCGTACGGATCTTGATTCAGTTGTTACAGCTTTGTATGAAAAGGGAGTATTTTCCGAGCAAATGATCGAACCGTACAGAGTAAGTAAATATTTCGTAATGTTTTTTATTTGAAATCCTCAAAAATAAACAAAACAATGATTGTTACTCTCATAGGTGACTCATTCATAACCATAAAGCTTATTATTTGGCAAGAATTCGTGTCCTTTGTGTTTATTTAACATCAGCTAAAACCAGAATCTTAATACAACTTTGTTAATTTTATAAAAGAAAAAATTATGAACATATACTTTTATTTACAGAACAACTCTGAGTTGGAAAGGGATCGCAAACGTCGTCTCTACATGGATGTTACTCGTCGAGGACCTCATGCATTTGCACATCTGGTAGATACTCTTGGAGAGTTAGGATACTGGGACTTGGCGCGTGATCTGGATCCTGATAGTCCATTTTCTTTTTCAAGCCAACAGAGATTTAACCCTATTCCCCGTAAGTCTCTGAAGGAAATACTACAGCATCTGTTCAATTTTGATTATGATTTAATATATTTAATTTTAAGATGTACAATACTTTCAGAACCTAGGCCGACAGACAATGATAACTTTCGCAGTCTCAGCACATCAAACAGGCCTAGAGCTGAACCCAACAGAAGTAAGTATTCAAAGTGATCCTAATGATGTATACATGTGAAATGAAATGATATTAAATGTGAAGCTGTTGTGTGTGTTGCAGTCAATGTGCAGTTACAGTCTACACCGCCTCCTCCTGCCGTTGAGAACAACAATGCGGATGAAGAGGTCACTGCACCACCATTTATTGTTAAAAAAAGCACAAAATTTATGGAGGATGACAATACTAAAGGTTTTTATTTTATTTATAAATATAAGTGTTTAATTATTTGTGCTTAAGCATTATAAAACCACTAGCTGTTCCCTGTGAGTTCTTCCGGATCGGAATGTAGGATTACAACGGTAAAAGAATGTTTTGTATAATTTCGGAGTCAGGTGATGTCTGGTATTTGATCTTACTAGGAACTTCGTTTTTTAAATGTGGGAGAGCCATGCTTCAGCACGAATGGGCCGGCTCGACCGGAGTGATACCACGGCCTCACAGAAAACCGACGTGAAGCAATGCTTGCGTTGTGTTTCGTCGTGTGAGTGAGGATACCGGAGGCCCAATTACCCTCCCCTTCCCCAATCTCCCCAATCCGTGAATCCCCATCGATCCTCAAACTCCTAATCCCCAAAAAGCCGGTAACGCACTTGTAACGCCTCTGGTGCTCCATGGGCGACGCCGATTGCTTATCATCAGGTGATCCGTCTGCTCGTTTACGGGCTTATGCCATAATAAGAATAAAGAAAAAAAAATAAAAATAAATAAATAAAAAAAAAATAGAATGATTTTTGTAAGCCAGGTGTAAATAAATTTATACTAAAACTATACTGCTACTGCTTCTAATTTGAAAATTCTGTTTGTGTTGAATAGTCCATTTATTGAGGAGGGCTATATAAGCGATAAATAAAATAATATTATTTATTGTTAACTGTCTGTTTCACCGTCATTACAGATCTGAAGCTGTACAAAACGCGCGGCCGCAACCGTGGCATCTTGCTAGACTTCACATACACAGAGTTTGATAACAATATCGAAGAGTTTCGCAATGGCGTCGACGTGGATTGCAACAACCTCAAGTACCTATTTGATGAACTCGGCTTTCGTAGGCTCGGATACCTCAACCTTACCAAAACTGTAAGTGAGACAATTAGACTATGTATTTTCGACCCATTCAACTTAATAAAGCGAACTTATTTGCCCCTCTTTTTGCGGAGTCTTCGCGTCTTGATGCTAGTGGCGCTTCACCACCTTCTCTACACCGAGCATGCGAGACTAAAATGTTCGCATTCGACAGAAGGAGGTCTGCAGAACCTTGCGCAACCTGGACGTGAACAAATCCAGTGGTCCCGATGGAATCCCGGCTATCATATACCTCTATAATACGGCTAGTACTGAAAACTTGTGCTCCTGAGTTAACTCCAATCTTGACACGTCTATTTAGCCTATCTTTTGAGACTGGTCAAATTCCGAAAGCATGGAAGCTGGCCAACGTGCAATCTTTGCCTAAAAAAGGCAGCCGTGCCGACCCTCGTAACTACAGACCTATCTCGGTCACGTCCATGCTCTGTGAGAGTATGGAACGTATACTGAATAACAGGCTCCTGGCATACCTTGAAGGTAACGATCTCCTTAGTGATCAGCAATACGGATTTCGCCGAAACCGATCTATTGGGGACCTTCTTGCATATGCCATACATCTGGAGCGATTCCATCGAGAAACACGGGGAAGCGTTAGCCGTATCTTGTGCAGAACCCACTGGTTTGTGCAGATGGGTAACCGACTCCTGAGGAATCGATCGATCCGAGTGGTCATTGATGGCTGCTCATCTAATCAACTTGGTATTTATGCCCGGGTTCCTCAGGGGTCAGTACTCTCAGCAACACTTTTTTAACACATTAATGACCTGCTCCAGCCCGGTATCTTTGGGTACGTAGATGACAGCAACTCAAATCCAGTCTCTGAGAGAATCTATGGTAAATCGTCTGAACCTGTCCTTGCAGGCGGTCTCCGATTGGGGTGACGCCAATCTGGTCAGGTTCAATGCCAGCAAAACCCAGGCGTGTCTGTTTTCCGCTAAACGGAGTCGGTTCCCACTGACTCCTACTTTCCGGGGTGTGTCCGTTCCGATGGGTGACCGTCTCGAGCTTCTCGGCGTAACTCTGAAGCCCACTCTCAATTTTGGCTCGTATATCGAGACAAAGGCGCAACTGGCTGGTAGAAAGTTGAGTGTCCTGTCGAAGGTGAGACGGTACTTCACGCCGGAGCAGTTGCTCACTCTTTACCAAACACAAGTTCGGTCTTGTATGGAGTACTGCTCCCATCTTTGGGATGGCTCGGCGAAATACCAGTTGGAAGCCCTCGAATCCATCGAGAGGCGTGCCAAGAAGCTCATCAATAACGATTCGCTTGTGGAGGCTCGCGTGATTTTTAGTCAGTAAGAGTCTGACACTCCCTCTCGCCTCACCCGGGCGGGAGGTGTCATTGGATGATTATCCCTCGTCAATAAAAAGGTTCTCTGAGGAAGTACCTTCCTTATCAGAATTTGATTCCTCCAAATGATGACGCAATTCAAGTTTATTATTATGATCGCCAATGCCTTTATTTCCTCTGAACTAATCAATCTGAATTTTATCACCAGGAGACAATGGAGACGCTAAAGTCTTTGAACAACGTGTTGGTAAACATTGAGAGCGTATTCATCGTGGTATCGTCGCACGGGTACGAGCGGCCGCATTCCTCCGACACCGACGTGCGCTGCAAGGACGGCCAGCTCATCTCGCTGTATGATTTCATGACGTACTTCAACAACCGCAACATGCCCGCCCTCATCGGAGTTCCCAAAGTGTTCATCTTCCAAATGTGCAGGTTACTGACTCTCCATTCCATAGGCCGCCGTCTGCATAGTTGTATGCCGAGTATTGTAACATATCGTGTGGTGTACAGAGGCAGCAGTGCGGACTACGCGTGGCACTCGAGCGCGGCGCAGATGCCGATGCCGGCGGGGGACGTGGTGTACGACGGCCGGCCCGAGCCGCCCGCCAGCGCCGCGTCCTCCGCGCTGCACTTGTACGACCGCCCGCGACAGACGCCCCTCTACTCCGACATACTTATCGCGCACTCCACGCTTCCCGGTCAGTGCGCTCCCTTTAGTATATTCTTTGTATAAATAGTAAACATTGATTATATTTATTGACATTAGTTGTATGGAGCCGTAAGAAGATAATATAATTTTTGTGTTAATTATATACTTCACAGGGCTTGTGGCGCATCGGGACGGCAAGCGCGGGTCGTGGTACATCCAAGCATTGTGCGAGGTGTTCGCAGCGCGGGCACACGACTGTCACGTGGAGAAGCTGTTCACGTTAGTTGACCAGCGCATGCAAGACAAGTTCAAGGTGCAGACCTCCTCGGTGGACCGCTGGGGCTTCAATAAGAGGCTGTACCTGCACCCCGGTCTCTACGAGTGATGTACTGGCCACAGCACGCGGCCGATAGGTTGTTTGATGGTTGTTTCTAAGCAATTTGACTGATGTGTCTTCCGCAGTTGTAGATTTTAATTGTAGTGCATGGTTCTATTACCTTTTGTTTATAAGGCAAATAATTTCATATACTATTTCTCACTTAATCAGAGGTGTGATCTGACACAATTGTATAATTATCATGATTAATAATAATGTAGGTATATTAATCTCAAATTTTATAAATATATTCATGTGAAAGGCATTGTCACAAATGACTGTAAATACTAGCAGAGTAGTAGGTAAGTCATAGAATCAATGCAGTCGCCTTAGTTTAGGATAGATGGATGAAATGAATAGTAAATAGTGACAAAAATGCAATTTGTAACATGAAGTTCTTTTAAAATATGGTTGCATAATTTATGTAATAATTTTAACCAATATAAACATTTCATAACATTATTGAAAGTTTCGAAACAAGCTCTGCATAATTTTGTACAACTTCTTTTTTTTAGGTAATTTACACAATATTTTCTATTTATATTAACCTCTCGCGCGCTTCTCGTACACACGGGTAAATATTTTAATAGAAAAGCGAATTAACTATTCTGTCCAATCAAGTAAAGAACGGGTTGCAAACTTGAAAATACACGTCACAGAAAAAATATCCAATCGGTGCGCGTTTCTCGTACACCCGTGTGTACAATTGCGCGATGGGCACTCAACTCTCTCGTACACCCGTGTGTACGGAGCACTGATAATATTTTATACGTAATGAGCTCTGTGCAAGTTTCCCTACCATATTTTACGTAATATTTCATGTGAAAACGACTTCGATACATCCAATTTTGAGATTTACTCCTGCCTTCCACTTCAGTGAACTTCTTCGCATTTATGTTAACGCATTTACAATCGTATGTTCTCTATTACTTTATTTTTGTTATTCTCATGTAGTCTATACATTAAGACAAAGTTTAATGTCATTTCTGCTGAAGTGGTAGTGTACTTTATAAGCAACCAATTGTGATAAGTGTAGCCGGCGCAAGTCCTGACTACTCGATAGTGATAATATACATTGTATTAATACTTTTTTACAAAATAAAACATAGTATTTTCATTGCAGATAGTTTTAATACACCACATCACATACAAAAATAGATAGAAATATTGATAGCACTAGAGCGATATTGTTTGAATCCTTCGCCAATGCTATTACGTCGCTGACAAGTTTGTAAAAAATATATATTTATATTTTATATCAAGTGTTGTAATAAAGGACTTACCATTTTCTAGTAGATGTAATATCGGAACCGTACAATTGTTCCTTCTGAACAATTACTACATATATGTGAACCATTGTCGCTAACTATAGACAATAGGTTTCTTACAACAAATGATATCTTTTTGTAATTCGAGTCTGTAGTAAGAGACTACGTTCTAAACAACAATACTTTCAGGCCAAGACGAAGGCAATGCACTGCGATGCGACGACGCATCGGAAAGTTTACGTCGAACAGTATTTTTACATGACAACGATACGTTGTGCGGTGTCGTGGATGTTTGCGATGTATTGTCGCTACGCAGAGTTGTAGCCTCGTTTTGGTACCATCTGTTTCTGCCATGTCGATGCTCATACGTTTCTCTCATTTGTTTTGAGCTACCATTCTATAGCCACGGAAGAATAGAAGTACAACTATTTATTTAAAGAACATTAAAGTTGCTCACGAGACATTTTACAACGCGTTTCGAACATTATTTATAAAGCAAAAAACATTTTTTACTGAAATCCGAACAAATGATTGAAAAATGGCTTAAAATAAGTTATAGATATGTTTACTAGCTTTTAAGGCCTAGTTTTTACGCTTAATAACAAAGTTTGAAATAGTTCCTAATCAAATTGTGGGTGTTGTAAATTGTCCTGTGAACCCGGCGTCACTCATTGTCCGTATTATCAGCGTTGTAGGTATCAGCGCGGGCCTACCGGTCGGACACGGTGGCCACGAGCGCGCCCAGCTTGCTGAGGTTGAGGCCCTGCCGCAGACAGCTCGGCGCCGCGCCACAGCTCCGCAGCGGTGCGGAACCACCGACATCGCGCGACACTAGCTCGCTCACTGAGCCGAGCTTGTCCAGCCAACGCTGCATCGGGTTTACGAGAGAGCTCTGGTACAGCCAGTTGAGTACGGATGTCGTCGACCACCACGGTTCCAAGGTCTTCCAGTCGTACACTACGATTGCATCATACCAATTCCTCTTGTTCGTCGTACTATCCTGATACTTGGTCCACTTCGTGCAACACTTTAGGCTGTCAGAAACAGTCTCTTCAGTGAGTATATCTAAAGTGGACTGGTGTAGAGTTGCATTGTTGGTGTATGAGGTCAATGAGGTCAGTTCCGAATGCAAACTGTGCGTTATAATATTTGTATCGAGCACGTCGAGGGCAGCGAGAGGGGCGAGCGGAGTGCGCGTGGCCATGTAGTGTAGAGCGGGCAGCCAGGCATGGGACATGACCAGCGTGGACGTCAGGAAGGCCACGAGGCTGGTGACGTACGCCAGCGCTAGGGATGCGCAGGCCGCACCCAGTCCGCGGGCCAGCGACGGCAGCAACGCAACGTCACTGGCAGCCACCAGGTCGCTGTATGTAAAGAAGCCTCGCAGCTGCGCCTGCTTCAGCGCTACTTGCCGTTCCAACCACAACAGTCCTGCTTCAAATGATTTCTCACTCACAAACACATTCCAATCCTGTTGATGAGAAAAATATAGAAATTATGATTAGTGGTTATTGTCATATTCCAATCATATTGATTTTGTTCATTAATTGAATACTAACTATTGCATTGAGGAAATCAATTTCAAGTTTTTTCAGCTGGTTCAACTCTAAGCCCCCGGAGGCAGCCCACTCAGAGCACATCACATCGTCGTCTTCTCCATCATCTTGCAAGAACTTGTTACCTACCATCTAAAAATGTACAAAACATAATAATATACATGGGTGTTACTGGATTTTTTCCGAGACTGTTAAAAATTGACAATTTTGTAGATTTTGATGTTTTTTTCTGATTTCATGTGCATGTCTGAGGTTGCACATCAAAATCTACAAAATTTCCAATTTTCAGGACTCCTGGAATAACATACCAGGTAAAACTACCTTATTACTGAATTATAAAAAATATTTATTGTTATACAATTGCAAGATTGTTATACCAGTGAAACAAGGAAGAGATCAGCAGGTGCAGCAGCAGCAATGTAATCAGGGTTGCAAGCATTCAGTCGTTCTAGGTAGAGGATGGCCAGTACGAGCGCGCACGGTGAAACACAAGCGCTGCGCGCGATGCCGGCCGCCGCATCCGCGTGCAGGCGCCGGAGCGACCGCCCGCGTTGAGACACCGACCACAGCTCACACGAAATCTCTGTAAATTCCCAAACATCATTTTTAAAATAATTATACAATTACCTACATTTTCTATTTCACAAATTGAATTTTAGATTTCAAATTAATTAAGGCCAACATTGTTAATGTTACATTGCATAATGGTTTTTTAATTGAGTTGCTGAATATAATGCGTGATAAATAATTACCATTGTATATACACCATACCTGTAACAGGCAGACTTAGACAGGGTAAAGTGGGTAGTTGGCCGTAGTACAGCGTCTTAGTGATGCGCTTCAGAAACTCTTTGTGGTCTCCCATGCTCTGTAAATTAGATTATTTTCATTTAGTACTGAATAAATTTTGTTTTCATCCTGTTAAACATAAATAAATATCCCTTCTTGAACAAGCAATCTATTTTCTTAGGTTAAACACCATTTTACAAATGCATAAACAAGATTTTGGAAAAACTGATTCTGTACAAAATAAAATATTTACAAAATAATATAATTCAATTATAACCATAAGCAAGCATCTATTATTGCCTTTGAATAAAGTTTTGTTTAACACCAAACAAATTGTAAAGTAACCTTGGTGGCCAGTTTGTCATTATCATGTGATGTCACTCATGCATGATAACAACTTTGTGTGAATTCTTAATATTATTAATTTTACTAACAAATACCTTGGTATATGGTCCATAATAGAGTATCAATGTGAAAATTGTACATTATGGCTTTTCAGTCAAAAACAAGTTGAACTTATCATTTTAGTGAATACATCATACAAGTTATGATGACAATATTATGTTTAGTTTAGTCATGATTCTGAGATGTAAAATGAATGCTGTAGAGTACTTGATAAATTACTCGAATAACTGTGAACGTTATTTGTAAGTAAACAATAGGTATGTAGCTTCTCAGGCCTATGAAATACCATGCTGTCGAGGCGCCGTTCAATTTTGTAATTGAGTGGGCCACGACATGACCTCCTTCCGTACCTTGATCTTGGTTCTCGATCCCTCTTTTCTTCTTTTCGATATATTCGACATAGCTCCAGCTATTGTTACAGATTACTAAAGTAGGTATTTGAGTAATATAATACAATTATTATAACGACAATTTTTTATCACCGGATTCTTTTAACTATGAACCCCTTTTTTGTTTGATATTACAGAGAATTGAGAAACAACAAGTTAATGTTTAGAAAGCATAACACAAAAACATTTACTGTTGTTTTTCATGCAATAGTCCCAAAGAATTCGTAAGTTAGACAGAGATGCTCATCAACACTGTGTGCAATAATTAAAATAAAAACAAACTTGGAACGTATTTATGAACGGTGGTGAAGTGTGACATTGACACTGTCATTTTTTGAAAAAGATCAAATGACCATGGTCCAATGATAGCGAGGCTATGACGCTAAGGATTACGGTCTTAATGCCTTGTCGCGCTAAGCTAGTATTAGTTGAGTAGCAAGTATTTAGTAACTCCCTCTCGCTTCGGTTTTGGGACAGAAAAAAGATGGGACGGTGATCGTTTATAACGAAGCCTTTTCAACTATTACGCCATTTGCCCGTAAGTTTATTTAGCACACAATGAACAAAAAAAAAATATAATCGACTAAACTTTTCATTCACGTCAGCTCGCAAAATGCTTCCATAATTTACCGAGTAATACGCTTAATTATTATTTAATTATAGAGTATAGACGTAGGAGGTTTTTTTTAGAAATCAAACCAATCAGTGTTCATTGAAGTATTTACAAAAATCTTGTTTATATAAATCTAAACTATTTTTATTTCTGATATTATTCAACTTTTTAGAGTTTTTTATTAAAACTGAGATATTTATAACATGAAAGGAAAATAAATAAATAATAAATATGTACAACTTAAGATACACTACAACGAAAAGATTAAATTAAATAAAAGAAAATTAAAAATTACTATTTACAGAGAACATATTTTTTTGGAATTTTTTTAATTATGAACGCAACTTTTGCGGCACCCCTCCCGCTTAGCTGGTAGTGACAGCTATCAAACACAAGTGTCAAATAACAAAAGCAGCAAGAAAGACAACTAAACGAACGCTATTTTGTGAAAAGCGATTGTTTCGAAAATATATGACAACATGAAATAATTAAATAGCGGGCACCGCGTAAATAATTTACTGTGTTCGCGGTATAACATTGTGATAACAGTATTAGGCGTCTATGTAATATAACTGGGCGCGTGTGAGTTTGCGGTGACTCGTGTCATTGATATTGATTTCTTTTATTTTCTGAGAGAACAATTCGAAAATGATTTAGCTGGATCAGTGGGTGCTACGTGCCATTTATTAAATGTGTGACTGTTAAAGAACAGTAAACAACGAATAATATGTTTGGAGTCGAAAGCCGTGTGTGATAATGTGAGGACAAAATGAAAACTAAGAGTTTTTTGCTGTTTTCAACGTCGGTGTTTGCAATAAGTATATTCCTCATAGTATTCCACTCGCAGCCGCCGCAGTCTATTCAAAGTATTGTCACGCAAACACATCAGCACCTTAAGGATTTTCAGGTTTGTGATTATGTCTTCACTATAAATCTACTTCATTATCTAACTTAAACGAGCGTTAATTAAACATAGTAATATTATTATTTGTTGCTGGCCTGTTGAGACATATTACACCGAGATTTTAAAATGAGGGTCTATAATGATGTGCTAGAATCATGCTATTGGTCTTCATATTGACTGCACGGTTGGCGAGGTGGTTGAGCAAGTGGCTGCCGCGCAACGTGTCGCGGATTTGATTCCCGAAATTCGACAACTCTTTGTTTAATCCAAAAATTGTTGTTTCGGGTCTGGGTGTCATGTGTCAGTGAATTTGTATGTTTGTAAATGCACCCATGACACAGGTGAAAATGCTATTGTGGGGCAACATTTAAAAAATAAAATATTTATGTCTCTGCCTATTCTAATAGGAGACAGGCATTTCATTGTTTCTATTTTGTGATTTTGTAACAGTTTTACCTTTTTGACATACACATTGTATTGTCATCTTCTAACATTGTTTTATTGCATCCTGATAAACTGACAAGGCTAGCAATGCACATGGATTGCGATTAACAATTGGTTTCTCCAATTACTTACTATCATGTGATCCATCTGATCGTATCCTCTATGGAGAGTACCGGCCATAAGAAGGTGAAGTTATAACATGACATGTATGAATTATTTACCTATCTTTTTGTCTCATCAGAACTTCAGAAGCATGATGAAGATACTACACAATATTAAACTATATTTATAATAAACCTGTATAAAATTATTTACAACATTTATTTCAATAGCACAGGACCAATACCAACTAAGTTTATGTTAGCCTAACTGATATAATTTTTAATAGTGGACAATATTTTAGTTAGATTAGACCTCTAATCATTAGAGTAAATGAAATGTAATCAAAAGTAGTGAAGCAGCGTGCTGGTGTTTATTTACAGTAGTTTTTACATTATAACCAACTAGCGACCCGCCCCGGCTTCGCACGGGTGCAATTCTTATGTAGAAATACCTACTATAAAATATCCTTATACTATACTATACTTATCTTATACACCACATTCACAGCTATTTTGTCATTAGGCAGTACAAACATGTTTTAATTTTATTTATTTATGCACAACAAACAGACAGTACACAGAAGAACACATATATAAATAAATTGGACGTACATAGGTACTACATATTCCCGTAGGAATCTCTTCCTGCAGTCCTACGACAGGAAAAATGGTAAAAACTAAGACACTGTGCATAACAACAAAGAAAAAGAACAAAATTTACCAAAATTTAAACCAATAGGAACTTAAAACTACGTACACAAAATAAAACCGATAAATAATGTATTAAATAAATAGATCTCAATAAAATACATAAACCTATACATACATATACTAGATTTTATATTGATGTTTTCCTCGCTAGAGAGCTCTGATAAACGCGTACGATCGTTGCAAGTCATGAAATGCTCTAGGACAAAACGCGGCCATCAACGCCGCAACAAATACGTCCCTGCATTTTAAATTTGTAATATCTTCGGAAATATTCATTTAAATTATATGCTGTAAAAAGCATATTGATCTATGTTAAATGTACAATTTATTTAAAGTACTTAATTGGATAGGATTAATGCTGTCATGTTTAAAATCACTTTGTAAATAACCATTGATAGTTAAGGATAAAAAATGGTTATGGTGGGTTATCCCTAATAGATAGACATATACCATCATGGACTTTTTTGTTAAACTTTTTAAGGTGGTCAATACTGTAGTACATGATTTTGGTCTAACTCGTAGGGTTTGCAATATAAGAGCAAAAAAAGCGTGCTGATTTACGACATCACATTAGAAACCTCTAAATTCATCAGTGTTTCTCTACTATATTATGCATGTATTCTACATATAAACCTTCCTTAACTCGTCGTGTACCGTCATTATAGACACAATTATAGAACAATAGGTTGCGGTCACCAGTGACCGCTTGGTGTTTGACAGTTTAAGAATCACTCTATATATTAAAAAACCTCATAAAAATCCGTTGCGTAGTTTCAAAGATTTAAGCATACAAAGGGATATAGGGACAAAGAAAGCGACTTTGTTTTATACTATGTAGTGATATAAGGTATATGAACATGTAAATATATGTGAATAAAAATAAATGCCATCGCAAAACAATTTAAAGTACAGATAGGCATTACAATTACATATGTATCTATGTAACCACAAAATGTTAGTGGTAACACCACTAATAAAACATATTATACGATGTTTTGTGGAGAAGTAGGTACTGCAAAATAAAGGGACTTCAAACAATTTGCCTGCGTCGTTGGCCGAGTGGTCGCAAGTGCGACTGCTGGGCGAGGGGTCTTGGGTTCGATTCCCGGGTCAGGCAAAGTATTACTGGGTTTTTAAAAATCTTAGTAGTAGCACGGAGTCTGGAAATGTGCCCGGTATATGTCTATAGGCCCACCCACTATTACATGGGACTCATAACATACATAGTGAAAAGTGGGTGTTACATTCCATAAAGGCATTAAGTGCCGAAATGCACCTCTGCCAACCCTTTCGATGGGGATAAAAAGGCGTGATGTTATGTTATGTGTTCAAACAATTTGGTAATTCTGAAAATAAAATCGTGATTTACTACTGTACAGGCGTCGTTGTCCCAGCAGGAGAACTTGCGGGATGTGGAAGAGAACCACCTGGTGCAGGAGGAACAGTACTCGCGCCTGCTGGGGCTGGACGGCCACCAGGAGCTGTGGCACAACACCACGCTGCCTGCGCTCGTGACGTACGCGCGCAACGACGCGCACGCTGAAGCCGTCAGCTTCATCCGCGCCGCCGCAAAGCTGCCCTATACAGTGCTACTCTACAATCTTGGATTGAAACCTTACTCCTTGTCTGTGGTTAGTTGCCAGTGCATATTTGCCACAACTGAATGTTTTGTTTTTCTTTGAAATAGATGTCACAGCTGATTACGGAACAGGTAAACGAGTGAAAATTGATATTGACATGTTATTTCACAGGTTTCCAACTACTGCAACTCTTCGAAATGTGCCATCATCGACCTGGACCTGGACACGTTTCCATCGCATGTGAGCGATGAGAGCATACACGCCGTGCGCCCGCTCATTATACAGGTGAGCTGATCTAAGATGTCGGATTGCAAAAACAACACATAGAAGTGACCTTATCTCAGTGCCCTCAACCACGGTGTAGATAACGAATTTAAATGATAATAATTAAAATGGAGATGACAAAAATAATATACTAAAAAATAGCTTGGCTTGTAGTAAAAACGAAAAACTCTTCTGGGCCTGCTGCTTCTCAAAATCTGTCCATGGGGCCCATTAGTCTAATGTTATCGCACCATCTATCCGTATTTCGTAATTCGTCTATCTGGAACAAAGAGATGTCTTTCATTGATTTGTTGTCTGCTTAATTTTATTGGAAACAGCCGAAATCCCTGAAAACACTGGGTAGTGATTAGGTTATGTTTATGTGGCTACCTTTTTTGTTTCTTTGCAGGGTGCAATTAGGTGACAGCACAATAGTTTAATAAAACACGATATCTAAGCTACTGGCACTCAACTGATGATGAGGAAACCCATTTGTTATTCACGCCTAAAAAGGGAAGCTCACCTAAATTTTCTATTCATGTATTCTACGCTTATGTTTAGTAGCATCTACTGGTCAAGGTCTCATCTGTGTGCCTTTGCAACGTTGACAAACATTTTAAGATACCCAAGTACCTACTTGAAAATTTTTTAATTCGTTTCACGAGGCTCTGGAGGTTTTCTCAAATGCCTATGCAATTCCTTCTTCGCTTAATTGACACAAAAATGCTCTTACGAGATGTTTTATCACGTATTGAACCTAACTGCAATCAAAAAGGAAAATTAACCTAGGCTCCTCCTGCTGCTGCTCAACCCTCAATTGATATAACATAACATAACACCATGCCACCAAAGTTTGTCTGGTAGAAATCACTATAAGTGATAAGACCGCCTTTGTGCCCATTACTATTTTTATTTATATTTGTCATTTCCTTTTCTGTATGTACTGTATTATTAATGGTGTACAATAAAGTTATATTCCATTCCATGCCTTTATCCCCGAAGGGGTAGGCAGAGGTGCACACAGAAGTAACACCCACTTTAATTTCCCTATTTATGTTATGAGTCCCATGTAATAGGGGGTGAACTTATTGCCATATACCGGGCACAATTCCAGACTCCGTGCTACTACTGAGATTTTTTTTTAAAACCCAGTAATACTTTGCCTGACCCGGGAATCGAACCCGAGACCCCTTCCCCGGCTGTCGCACTTGCGACCACTCGGCCAACGAGGCAACAGAACGCTCAACTGAATATAATATATAATTATATGCTTACATCAACATAAGGCCAAATTATTTTATCACTCTAAGTTACTTTACGTCAACTGTATTACTAGATATTATACTGTCTCACTGTTATCTACTAATAGACAATTATAAACTCATACATATTATTATACTGATATTTATGTCCCAGCTATTTAATTTAATTCCTTGATGTATCAACTAACGAAATTAGTTAATGTTGCTATTCTGTTAATTTTACTATCGCGTCTACTGGGGCATGTATGTTTTCATAATAACACACGTTAACGTCAACTCCGTGCCACCAGTCTAACTGAACTTTTTGTGTTCACTATCTTCAATTACTCTAAACAGTTTAAGTGACTGAATTAATTTAAGTTAGACAGGTAGACGTAATGCGATAACGTGTGATACAAGCGACCAGAAACAATTCCACTAATTAACCTCTAGGTCAATTTTATTAGAACAAGGTTTTGTTAAATGAAGAGTTGGTTAGCAGAGGCTAAGGGTTAGATTAGTGCAAAGGGATCATTTGTAAGGTCACGGCGCGACAACGTTTACCATCAGAACAAATATACCGCAACAACACTTTAATGTTGTTTTATATGGCAGTAGAGTTCGTCAGGCGGACTGAATTTCAACAGTAACTACTCTTGCGAAATAGTTTGCATGCAGTAGTGATAGCTGTCTCGCGTCGATCTCGTTCAACGTAAAGTAATCTCGTTTGATCTGCTCGCCAACTGCAGCACAATTTCGTTGCATGGTTGGCTAGCAGTCATACTAAACTAAAGTAAGTGCATTCAATTCAAACTGAACTCCGACTGTCTAGAGCCTGTTAGTGCTACGTGAATAACTTGTCAAATTTGCATTATATTATGTTCTATATTTCTCTATTGATGACTTTCAATATTTGCATGAGAGTGAGCGGCTGCGCGTGTCACAATCGCAACTGCCACTCATGCTGGCAGGGCGTTTGTCGGCGCTACGTTTGTAAGCGCAGCTACTAGTGTGACACACTTGACTCTCCACCAGATAAGATAATAGATACTGTAAGGAGCTGGGTGCCCAACATCGATGACTGTATACTGCACTGTTATTCGGCTGTTATCTACGAGGTTTTATTATATAGGCTATAAGTAGGTACTAATACATGTCTTTGAATATGTTTTACATTGTATAGTGCTATGTTTTGGGTGACGATGGGTGCAATCAGCTTTCAAAAAACTGTTATCCGATAAAAGAAATGGTTTTACTCGGATTCTTAATTAGGGATAGGTATTGTACGTAGGTACCATACTGCTGTGCTACCTATCCTAAATTAATAGTTTTCTCTAATGAGAAATTCTTAATTTTCTCTAATGAGACATAATTATGTGTATAATATGCTCTTGCTCGTACCAAGAAGGTCATCAACGATGATGCGCTAGTGGAGGCCCGGCTTCAAAGCCTCGAACATAGGCGTAAGGTTGCCTTTCGGTTTTTTACTCGATACATTTCTGTGAGTGTGTAGGGGAATTGCACAATTTGGGTACCCCATGTCCTTTCCATCATCGTACCATAAGACAATCGGCGAAGCGCCACCATTTCATGGTGGATGTCCCATCCGCTCGCTGGCACGAAGCACTTCGCTGCAAGCTTCCTTCGGCGTACTGCTAAGGAGTGCAACTCTTTGCCAGAGTCTGTGTTTTCTGAACGATATAAACTGGGTGTCTGCAAGGCCCTACTGAATAAGTTGTTTAGACACACATTGTTGCACACAAGATAACTTTATGTATGTAAATATTGATAATTGATTTTCCTTATTATGTAAAGTATTGGTCATGAATTTATACAGCATACCTATACACCATTTTAATTTAGAAATGTCGTATTCTGATACATGACTGCAGTGTCGCGTCCTTACCGTCTGCCAATGGCAGTGAAGTGGATAACACGAAGGCTAACCTATAAAGGCAACCCGCATCGGTATGTTAAGTTTTATGGTATTTGTTCTTAACTAAGGAAGCTAAAATCTCGAAATTGTTTTCCAATTGGTATAGGTTGATTTTTACTGTACATACCGAATTAGTGCACTTACTTTCATTGGTTACACTCACTATTCGCTAAATAATTTTCTAAATAGTGATATTTATATGAAACTAGCTGCTGCCCGCGAGTTCGCACGCGCAATCCCGTTTTCTCCCGTTCCCATAAGATTTAGGATTTTTTCCTATAAGACCCTTCTCCTGACAATAAAAAACACAAAAAAACAGCCAAATTGGTCTAGCCGTTCTCAAGTTATGGCGTGACAACGGGAAACGGGTTTCATTTCTATATATATGTACAACATGTAACTTAAATAACGCACATTCTGAAAATAGTTTGTTCAGAATCGGTATCGTTCAGAACTGCGGAGAAGCAGGACATGTACAATCCTCGTGCCCTAAAAAGTCGGAATCCCCTAAATGTGCTATATGCTCTCGTTACAATATGCCCAATAAACATAAAACCGGAGACACTGACTGTCCGGCTAGGAAAATAGCTGAATATAGGTATATAAACTCTATCGATTATGAGGACGCGTAAAGTGTCATATTCTCAGATTATAGAGTTGATTAGCCTTTCCTTGCACATTAATTAACAATTTGTTGCTGTTCAAGCATATTTTATTGTGACATCGAGTGAATGACCGTTTGGACTGTAAACTAGATTATGTTTCTGTTGATGTATCAAATTCTTCAGTACTATAGTTCCTACAATGTTTTATACATATATGTATCTCTATCTATGTTTTGCAATTAAGCTAATATAATTACTTGTTTAATAAATGTACTTTTACGATAATATTAATATTTAGTTACCTATCATGATATGTAGTTATGTACGTGTGTATGTACATACATACATATGTATATTAAATAATCAACTTTACTTTAATTTTGATCGATTACTTATGTTAAGGAATTTGTTTATATAAATAACTTGTCCTAGAATTTGTAATATTGTGAGTGCTCCTTTCGCCTGCGATACAGGATATTCTTCCTAGTACAGGCATTCAAACCTAGTGAGATCCCTGATTTTAAATTAAGATGTTTATCTGTACCATGACCAATTTCTTATAATGAATAAAGATTTATAGATTATTTATAGTTAACTGAATCGATTTATATAATTTTTAGTATAGGTAATTTTTTAACCCAAATATAATTAAAACTACTGAAATTATTGTCATATTAATCCTGTATTGTTAAAACAAATCGAAATGGACCGTAAGTCCAAGCAATAAGACGTTTAAAATCGCAGTTTTATTTGTATTCATACAAATTCTATCATTCAATACAAAATACAAAATAAAGATAAATAAACCTTATGACAAGACCAGTAGGGATGCATATACATGTTAAATTAAAAATTTAGTGTATGTATTATGATTATAACATAATATTCTAATTGGGGTGTTTGAGGGTGTGCGTTAATTACGTTATATATTGTATATAGATAGAATAAATAGATTCACATTGTGATCAATCTTTGTTTGGTAAAATGATTATGCTTTGTTGTACTGGTGATGCTTTTCGATTTCTAAATTCTTAATAGAATCTAGAATAGTGTTCGGTGTGTGTTTATCTAAAGGACGATGTTATCGATCCACACTTCTCTCCTCAGTGTCATCAATGTTTATCAAGTACGTAAGCACCATACAGGTTGTTTGTTATGTTAGTAATATGAAACATTCTAATACAGGTACTATAAATTAGCAGCCTATTGTTTGTCAGCAGTTAAAATACCAGCACGTTATCAGTAATAATGGCGCATTGGTACCGACCAACTATCGCGTGATAGTGCCCATGTACAAACCTATATAGCGTACCTTGTTATGACTACTAAGTAGTCATAACTAGAGGGCACTTTACATTAATTTAATATTGACTATCTTTAAATTATATGAAACGCAAAATTAGGAATACTCATTGCTCTAACTTCCATTTTCTTACTTACGCTTTATGTATGTACGGTTAGATTTCGGTATGTTGAGTTCTCTTCTTAATACGAAACACCGCAGTTCCGAAGAAAATAATTACTTTTATTTAAACGTCATGAATTAATACATTTTTAGGTGTGACCCATGAGTGCACGGGATTGCAGATGGAATACTACTATCTATTTTTGTATAGAATGGGGATGTATGCATTCAAAGCCAGAAGTGAACTGTCAGCACTCTGACAGGGTTAAGGGGTACATTCCTTGGGCCTTGGGTATAACTGAACGCTAAATTAAATGATATGACTGAAGCTTCCTGTAAAGCTAAAGTATACTACTAGTATAATACTAAGTATTAACCCGTCGAGTGTCTAAACGTGAATCCACGCGAGACAAAATGTATTTTCTATTATGTCTCATATCAGTGCATTCAAGCGGTTAATTTTCTGCATCAGATTGTCGCTACAGAAGGTAACAGCAGTGAGCATACAATTTCTATAATCCGGTGTCCGCCTCGCCCCCCGCGAGCGAGCGTGACTGCGTGGCGTTATGTCTGTGCCGTGGTGTCTGCGTCTCTACTGTCTAGGTCACTTCACGCCGAAATAGTTGTAACGACCGATATTTTACAAACTCTATTTCTGAAAACGCTTATATTAATAGCTCCAGTAAGGTCAAAGACATAAAAACGTCTAATCAAAAAAAATATCAAGTAACTGTGCGTGGGGAATGTATCGTGCAGTATCTATACAATGTGGGTGACCACCTAATACCCAGCCAGAAGATAAAATTACAACCCGGAGACTGTGGATTAAACACGATACGTTGTTACTGTTGTTAGTAGCGGTGCAGCCATTCAGCCATTGGCTCGTTTGTCTATGTAACCCTTACACTTTCATGTTTATTTTTAGTACATAATAATTAATACATCTCGTCTGTGGCGGACGCTTAGCATTAAATAGAGTCTTCATTTTATGTATCCGATCCGGCATTGTGATACTCATGCACAAGTCTACCTCCCCTGATGATTCGAGATTCCATTGATAACTCAAATTGTTTTTGATAGTCGAATTTATCGGCATTCCCCGACCCCCGTATATTTGCTGTAAATAAATAATTCAGAGAGATCTCTAAGATTCATTTATTTACGGGCACCAGACGTACCGTCACGATGTACCTATCACTACTACATGTAATATTCGGCGCACATGTTCGTAATCATTACGCCTGTGATCTATGTTTGAAGGAACCATTCTTTAACTTTGCGTTATGAAAATTATTCTTAAAATAACTACAGACATCGAGTGCTTGTGTCCGTTGTGCGTGTTCCTGCATTCTGAGCAGACACTCGTCAATCTTGAAAAATTATAAAAATGACACTCACAGTTTTGGAGACCGCATGACTGTAAGTATCCCAAAGTCCTGAGGCCCTGTTCCACCACTCCTGTTTAAGTTTCCATTTGTAGTTGTGATTGTGAAGTTAATAAAAACTTAATGCTCAATGGTAATACGGGCCCCGAGCCATGTCGTGTTAAAGAGGAATATCTCATTACTCATTAGGCTATGTGCAGTATGCGCATCCAGAACACCGTTCAAACCCGCGCATAGCTTTCAATGACTAATAGAGCTATGTTATGATATGCCCCCAAAATTCACCACAATATCATCATGACTCCACTTGAATAAGGTGTGCCGTGTGGACTCTGGACGCCTCAACAATTATTACGTATGTTCAAAAGATTCCCGACACTCGCTCTATAGAATCGCTCGGTGGGTTAATTGATAAAAGACAATTGACATGATCACTCTTTATTTCGTGAATTCTTCTCCAGTCAACAATTTAGTTAAAAATCATTTAGTTATATCCAACAACTCACTTGTAGACTGAGTCATATGACCCGCGTCGGTATCTAAATAGTGTCTGGCTACCAATTTCATTAGTCTTTGTTCCTCATATAGGTTACCAAATTAAAATCCCAACAGAAAAAAATACTGTCAAACACCGCGAGGTCACCGGTGACCGGAACCTATAATTCTTTATTGTGTCTATAATGATGGTACTTGACGAGTTAAGTACATCCGTTTTGCCGTTTAAGACAGGCAAACAAACAAATAGCTGTTCGCTCGCGTGGAATTCGTTTATATCGCGCTTTTTAGATTTTTTCGTGGGAATGAGAAGTTCTGCCGCGGTAAAGCCTTGCTTTTCCAGGACTCAAACTACCTTTATACCAAATTTCTTCAAAATGCTTTCAGCCATTTAGCGTGAAAGAACAACAGAAGGAGTTATTTTTGCATTACCACAAATCCATCCTCCCATTTCAATTTAAAAGACTTCTATTTCCTATAAGGGTTTCATTTGCAATGTTAAACCAAAACTGAGTGGTAAACTATATTACTCATACGTTTTATTGTCGAAAACCTAACTACTTTAGACATCTACTTAGAAATAAACGACTTCACTAATCTAACCTAACTAATATACAGCCACTGTATCAATCAACGAAAACAATGAACAAAGCGACTTAAAACGACGAAAAAAATAACTACTTTAGATATTATCTACCTATAATAAATAACACTTGACTAATCAAACCTACGGAGCGAACGAATAAAAATCAATAACAGTGCTAGATGAGTACACCGAAATATAATATTATAATGTCCATTTGAATACCTATTTTTTTTAAGGGGGAAAATCATCGATTGACTGCTCCCGCCTGGGTGAGGCGGGAGGGAGTGTCAGACTCTTACTGACTAAAAACCACCCCGTCCCTTCTCCTGCACGTCGAGCCGGAGCCCCGGTTACCCGTTAGGTTCTATTTGAATACCTCTAAACGGACGATATATATAAAACCTCTAATATTCTGTGAGGAGTTGCCTGTTGAGATAATAGAAAATGTTTCATGGTTCTCGGCGCTACAACTTTACTTGGTAGAACAAAGGCGCGGCGGCGGTGCACGAAACTCGTTCAACCCGGAGGCTTTCATACTAATTGCGCGCGTCTTTCAACGCTCAACTAAATGGAATAACTTGTAACTTCTGCATCACGAGCGTTGATTTTAGTTCTGGAACACGTGTTGTGTTGCACAAGAAGAAAATAGAGTCTAATTTTTACCAGTTTTTGTTGAATCATTTTAATTCACTCAATGGGGTATAGCCAAATACCAAACAGTATTACAAAATTTGGACTACTATAGGACATTTTGTTGTCTGTTTATAGCACGCGTTAAGCCGCGTAGGTGGTGTTATATTCTGCGAGGCGTCGCAGCGATGGGCGGGCACGGCGGGCGAGCTGGCGGCGCTGTGGACGCGCGCGGCGGCCGGCGGCGGCGTGCTGGCCTGGCCGCGCCGCGCCGCCGTCACCAGCCTCACGCACCCGCGCATGTTCCACTACTTCCACGCCACCATCGACGACTTCCTCTTCGTGCAGATGATGGACGTGACGCGGCTCATCGTCGTCAACAAGCCCTCCGTGGTGGACATCATGCGCCCCTGGATACAGTGCGCACTCACTCTCGATTGCATCATGCCTATAGGTCTGTAATGATAAGTGATGAATGTAATGCGATATAGCTATACCATTGCAATATTAGCTACAGAGGTAAACACATTGTCATTATGATAAATGCATGTGGTGTTGCAGGTGCACAGTCAGTGGGCTGCAGGTTCGATAAGAAGCCGCAGTACCGGTACTCGGGCTGCCACGGGCAGGACGCGTCGGCGCTGAGCATCGTGCTGGGGCTGCGCTCGGGCTTCGAGGAGTCCGCGTACGTGGTGCGCGCGCGCGCCCGCTGGCGCACGGTGAGCGCGGCGGGCGCGCGCGCCGAGCTGCGCCAGCTCCTGCGGAACTCCACCGAGGACTACCGCACCGAGCACGCCGCCGCCGCAGACTCGCTCACGGCGCACGCCGCCTGAGCGGCCGAGTGATGCCACGAGTACGGATTTGTCAGTGACGACGGGAGACGACGACAACAGTTAGAATTAAGATAAAAAAAGTAATTGGATATGTTAGTGAGACCAAATTTTGACATTATTTTATATCATTCCATTTGATGAAAATACGCCAAATAGATGAGATTTTGTTGTTTGAATTTTGAAAATTCGTATTGGTTTAGAAATTAGTGAAAGACATATTTATTAGACGCGTAAGTACAAGGCATAATCCAGAGAGTCGTTAGCAATCCTATGTAATGGTGAGAAGATAAGCTGAGTATGAGTATTAGCAACTATTCATTTGCCATATTGGGTACAAAGTAACATTGTTCGGTTTAGTATATTTCGGAGCCTGCGATAAATGAAATGTTACCTTTGTCAATTGTTTATATTGCCTAAATTCTAAATGTTATAACAGTATTGTTTGTTACTGAATAGTTTCGTTACAGCAATCATGTATTTGCTACCTTCTAAAGGTGCGGAGCACGAGTGGATGCGAGTTACTTGTTGTTTACCATTTATTTTATAGTTGTAGTATTATTTTGTTTGATAAATTAATCGCGTTTAGAGCGAGAAAGGTGCTGACCGAAGTGGCAGCGTAATGATGACTGAAGCATTTGCGCAAACACCACGAAGATACGATCCTATGTGTAGGCTGTGTCGCAGTCCTGCACTGCTAACCAAGTACAAAGATGCCGTGTCTGGTGTAACGAACGAGATTCTGTCGTCAGCTGTGAATTACTTACTAGGAACATATTTTGTGTTGATTGAGTTGTACATAAGTGTGTACATTAGACGTTAGTATGTAAAGTAGTGCTCCATGTTTCGGAACTACGGTAGTTTAAGTTGGCGGAGCACGCCGGTCGTGTGACGGCCCGCGTCCAGCGTTTGTTGCTATGTTAGTGGTTAGTGCATCGATACTCATTAGTCATAATTTATACGTGAGCCTTTTGTCGAGCAATATTATACTTTACGGTAAGTACACACTAGCACGTGCTTGTACCTCGCAGTCGCAACATACCGGCTACATATTGGCTCAAAATTATTTCATTTCTAAAACTGAATACCTGAACAATAGGGTAAATATGCAGGCTATTTATTTATTCTTATCTTCATTTGTATGTCAATGAATTAGAACAAATATTCGTCTAAAATGGCAACAGTTTATAAAACAAAGCACCTTATCTTGAGGCACAGATTATATCATTGAAATCATTGTAAGTATATTAAAGATAGTTCACCTGTTTGCGGGCAAACAGCAACCAGTGACTGTAATAGCCGGGTATTTTACGTACTGCCAAATATTTTGATTCAGGATCTTGTCATGTGTCATTATGTTCTTATTTATAAATACGTTTATACAGAGTGTCCACCAAGTAAATGGTGTACATTTACTTGGTGGAGCCGGGCAGTCGGCTTCACGTTACATCGCGCGTAGGACATGTGTCAGTCCATGTAAGGAGGAAGAGGGATGTAACGAGACGAACGGTGCATATCGGTGTTTAATTTTGATGTATTTTGTGAAGATACCATGTTTGGTTGTGAACTGTTATGAAAACTAGTTGTGTACCTGCATGCACGACCTACTTAGTTCGCCGCATCCAATGTGATATACTTAAGTATTTATTACTTTTATTAGCAGCGTGTATCTGTACTCCGTACACGGTGCCCTGGCGAGACAGAACGAGTACCGCACGAGTATCGTTTTATGTTTTGGCCGATTTTTATATTCACCTTATATTCTCGTAACACGAAATCCAAAGTGAATCAACGTGAACTCGAATAATATAGGAATCGAAACATGCAGGAGTCACTGTAACTCATGTTTAGGTATTATACCATATTGTAATATGATTGTATTTTAAAGCACAGTTATCATAGCTGTATCACACTTTTGTAAAGACCTATACATATTTATTTTGAGATTGATCGCGTATACCTATAGCCTCTAAATGTAAGGATCTCACGGTTACTTAACGCAGCCTAAATTAAGTGTTTGTACCTATCTGTAATCATGACCAACATTTACGTAAGTTTATAATGTTTTTACTGTAACTTGGATACTGGGAACTGCTAATTGTTCAAAATTTTTCACATTCTCTTTGAGTTTGTCACAGTTTGTAAATGCGTAGGTAATTCTGTTTATAAACAACGAAGGAATCGTTGATCCGTAGTGTGCTCTCCTCTCTGTAATGATCTAGACTCATGTACTTGTAGCGAGTGAGCAGCCGCTGTACCGAGATAGTGTTGAGCAAGTTGCCAGCTAGTAGTGTCGCGGACGGCGCCGAGCCGTGCCGCGTTAGATAATACGAGATCTAGTCCTTATGGTAATAGTTAATAAGTTGGTTTTTTCAAATAAAATTTTAACATGTGCTTAGTGCGTTGCAACACTTGAGTCAACTGAACGATGCAAGATAATCAATTGCACTATCACTGTATTTAATTTAAGTTTCTATTGGACGATAATAATGATTGATGTCCGCGCCGCGCTGCAAAATTACACTACTTACCTACAGAGCACGGCTCATATTTAGATAAACAAATTAATGAATGTTGGCTCAGTGAAGGACGACGCATTACGCACTTGTAGATAGATACCTGTTTGGTAAAATAGATAATATCGTACTGCTTATATTAACCCTTTTGAAGTTTATAAAACCTAATGGATAGGATACGTATATACTTATTGAATTTATACAATGTAATAATGTAATTATAATACGATATAAATACGACCACGTTTGAACTGTAGTGTTCTGCCAAATGCATCACATTCTTGTGACATGTTTGCGTAAGTGATGCAAGGGCCGCGCTGTTGCATAACGGAGTATTTGTATCTTTCCCTCGCACTCTCTAGGTTTAATTGTAAAGTTATATCGAAACACGCCCAGCGTGCTGCTGCTGTGGGTGGCTTTTTACGAATGACATTATTGCTATCTTTCCCTTTGGAATCATATCTACGTGAATTGCTTTCGGGTACTACAATCTTGTTGAACCCCAAGTTGCGAGCCAAATATTTTGCCAAACCTCGCAGCTGGTTTGATAGATAAGGGTTCAGACACTACTCTTCAAACCTTGCTTCATCAGGCCCCCCGGCAGTCCCCGACAGCAGTTGCATGCATGTGTGCGTTCGTGTGTCCGTGTGCATTGTGTGTGAATGCCTGCTGTATGATCATTGATCTTGTTTAGCGTATTTTTTAAACAAATGCAGCTTTTACATACGCATATCTTTATCAACAAGTGATAATTATTTATTAAACGATGATTATGACATTATTCAATTGTTTTATTGCAATATAACGTGCGGTTTCAAACAAAATCCGTGTGTAATTATAATATCAATTTATTAATTCCACTGAGAAATTACAAAGAAAACACGCATACAACATTCTGATGACTATACACAATATTAACGATTTTAAACATTAAATACTTTAATACACTTAGAACTTGGATTAAAATACTACATACATCAACGTATACATTAGTCACTTACGAAATACAAACTATTGCAGTAGGTAACGCAATGATTGTCATAAGCTTTAAACTTGTTACTGGCATCGTTAGTAAAGCGTTTGGTCCACGTTAAAAAAAAGTAAACCGAATATAAGGAGAAGCAGACATGAGAAAGAATGTAGTGACGTCGACATAAAGGCATATCAATATTGTGTTAATTGTGTTACACACATCATGTAGGCAGTATTTTAACCATAATACAATACAATTATAATTTATATAATTAATTGTACATTACTGAAAAGTAAATGTTTCCCGATATCATCGAAAAATAGTTTTCATTCACGAAAGAACACATATAAAAACGTGAATATTACTGCCCACTTTTGTACTAATACAATCCATTTACTATACAAGTATATACAAATTCCACTGTGCGTTGACTAGAGACAATGTTTGTGCTTGATATTGAGCTATTTATGTTTTAATATCTTTATCACTCGATTCGAATTTATTCGACTAGTTTCCCGCAGGACCCTGATGCAACTAAGTTATCTCTCGAACTAAGAATTTCGAGCTGAGAAGTGCCAATAACTCAATAAACACTAATAACCGAAATTATATATGCACTGCTAGTTAGCAAGCTAGACCTAGCAAGTACTTGTAAATATTTCTCCGACGCAAGCAGTGCGCGCGGAACGCGACGCGCCGTACGCTCGGGTCTGTTTCTGGTCGGACGGGGAGCCACCCATGCTCGCCGTCCGCAGGCGAGTCTTCTGCACGTGCAGTGCTGACTATAATTATTAGATTATGTTACTTGTATTCAGATAAATAATTAGTTCAGCGAGTAAATAAAGCCTCTTATAACTTCCAAAGGGATTTGAGGAATTATTTTGACAAAAGTGAAAGCGTAAAATCTGATAAAATTGGCATAACTCACTGCCAGAGAGCGATCTATGGCAAGAAATGTTCACAAACTCCAAATAGGGAACCCTTCCGGATGTCTGCTACCTCAACCTCACCGCCATGTTGTCCCCTAACATATTAAATATGATCGGTCAACATATTAAGATTACATAATTCATCAGTTAGGCGAAACATTAATCCTTTTACAGAAACCTGGCGCAAGCAGGTTAGTGACAACGGACAGCAGTAAGGACTTCACTGAAACTATTCAATGAAACGAACGAAGCTCTAATAAATAAATCAACTAACATTCTCAATATACCTGTAATTAATTACTTTCATAAAGCACTTACTGCTAAATCCTAAAATAATAGTAACATTTTTGTAAATCACCTACTATTTAAATTAATTTCACTTAAACACAGTTCATGGATACAGTTATATTCTGTAAAACTTACCTACTGAATATGTTGAACAGATTATGTACGTAATTAGTACACACATATGTATAGCAATAAAATTAGCAACATGATGAGTGTTTTTACAATAACTATCGTGAGACATACTAGATTAACTTAATCGCGGGTTACTCCCGTGAATATACTGAGAAAAGAAGAAGCGTCAAGAAGATGGATATCCAGGAATCGGCAGTGGCTGAACATGTGTGCGATACGGACGCGGCTCACTTCATACGGTTTGATAAGGTCTCCGTACTAGCGAGAGAAAAATACTTCGTTCCGCGAAAAGTGCGAGAGGCCATCGAGATTAGCCGACGCTCGGACGTCGCGACGTCCGTGCTTCAACAGGGATGGTGGCTGGACACTGCCACCCACGTGGAAGCCGAGCTTGGAGTCTACGTCAATCCACAGCGTCTCCAGTCTGGAGTGTGACACAGTAAGTGTTATATGCAACACTGACTTTATGCCGAACCCGGAATCGAGCCCACTACCCACGCCGCTGGTGAACGTACCGTGCGCTTTAACATCGTCTAGCGCGCCGCTGGAGTTGGAAGCAAACGCTCGTAGTGTCCGGCAGAGGGCGCGTTGGGCTCGCAGCGCAAGTAGCAACACCGAGGCGAGCGCCAACGCCAGCCAGTGAGCTGCGCGACGTCGCCGCGACCGCGCACGCTGCTCATGAGGAAGAACCCCTCTGTAGTTCGAAACTAGTAGAGCCGTAGAGCCTTTCTCAGTATATTCACGTGAGTAACCCGCGAGTTTAGTTAAACATGATGAGTACCTAGACATAGTATGATGGATCAGATGGGAGTAGTAAAATTTCAGGAGATAGCTATGTCAAACACCAAGCGGTCACCGGTGACCGCAACCTATTGTTCTATAATTGTGTCTATAATGACGGTACTCAACGAGTTAAATTTGTTATTTGCTGTTTTGTAATTGCAAAATTACTACTTACATATTTTGGTACAAGAATTTATCCAAAAATGTCGTAAGCCTAAACAATCCTTTTTTACATGTATAATAATTCTCTGCCAGAGACCCAAAAGTATCACATGATAAACTCTCCTGTGTCATTGCCTGTGTATAACTTATTTTCTATTAACTTTGGTTAGATACTCTTGTACATAACCAAAGACGTTGAAAAAAGGCGGACACGGTCTCTTGAAACAACAACTGTGGTACCTAGTTACTATACATTTATAGGTACGGAGAACATAAACGCATAGACACGAAGGACATCTGTCTTTTTCTTAAGTCTGTTAATAATACCAGACTTAAAAAAAGATGTCAGATGTGGTTACCATAACCCATTTCACAAGCACACATGAATAACCCACAGCCATTTTGATGCTTCAATAATTTATAAGTTACACTAAGTCCACCTTTTTAACCGACTTCCCAAAAAAGGAGGAGGTTCTCAATTCGGCTGTATGTTTTTTTACATCCTTTTATTTGTAGTAGTTTCAAATACCAGATCAAAAAGTTAGCAAACGCTCTCGCCACCCATACATTTTTGAAAAATTCCCCTCAGTTTCCATGGGATCCCATCATCAGATCCTGACCTGGTGGAAATGGGACCACCCCGAAAGTATAACCTTTCCAACAAAAAAAGAATCATCAAAATCCGTCTACAAACCCCGGAGTAATCGCGTAACATACACACAAAAAAAAAGTTCTAAGTTACACTAAGTCCGCCTTATTATCAACGTCCTTTTATATGGTACCTCATATTATGACGTTAAATATCTATCATATTTACTATGCACAAAGATGATATACCTGCAGTATCAAGTTTGGTGAGATGTTGAATGATAATGTACCAGCATTTATACTTTACAAGATAGTTATAGTTGTGTATACACTATAGAAGTGATATAAAGGTCATTACGACATTAAAGTAATATTACTCGTACTATCTAGAGATAAAATCAGTAAATTTCTCTAAAATACTTACACTAGGATCATACATGAGCATGTCTACAGAAATTTACATAATGTATAAAACCTAGGATACCTATATAGTCCACGCCACAAGTTTGTAGTGGTGTGAGATATACCATACCATACCATGATACATAATTTTTATAGTAAAGAACTTTTTTGAACAAAAATCGCACTCGAAGCATAATATCCAATGGATAAAAAATAAATATGTATTATTTCGTTAAATATTGCACTTCATAATATTTACAAAACTAAGACATAATATACAATTTAGTTTTTCCTTAATTTTGTAACTACACAGTTCGAGGGTAGGACAAAATAAAAAGTCCTATAAGTAACAGTTCGATATGTTTTTTTCCTTCCTTAGATCATCTCATTTTTTTGTTCGGATTTGGAATCTTCATCCATAAAGAGCAATGGCGTCATTCCCAGAATGCAGCCTACTGTGATACCGACAACGCGTCCCTAAAATTAGAATGTGTAAATTAATATGTGATATTTTCATTACAATGTGTCCATTTGATAATTTTTTGAATGTTCGGGTCGGTACTGTCGAACTCATACATACCAGGTTTGAGAACCGCCTGGAAATAGTCATATCGAGCTGCACAGGAGATAGCTTGGGTGCGCCCAGGCCGACCAATGAGGCAACTCGTTCTACGTAGTAAGCAGAGCCGATGCCGATGACGTCACTGAGCGTGTTCCCCAACGCCGCCGCAGCCATCGTTGACAACGTAATGTATGCACTCATACCTGTTTCTATACTGTCCCCCTGTCATACACGACAAAGATCAATAAATCGGTAGTTAAATATCTGGACTAAATGTAACTACCACACAGCAATACTCACAGCAATGATCATGATGAAGTTGTCCAAGAATCCAAATCCAATAAAAGGTATGGCATTTGCCACCGACACTATAACAATAATGCTTGTTTACAATGTAAGTTTGTTTTCAAACAATAACATTTTGTGATATGTAAATGGTCCAAGAGTTAACGAAACTAGTTAGTTAATTACCATCGCATGGAGTTGCAAATGTGCTGCTGGACTTTTGGATTAGCTATTAGGTGATGGAGAGGCGAGGATCGGGCCTCCTATAGTCTTACTCATGAGGTAAAACATACGCATTGTTTCACTTCACACCGGGTGTTTTATACCCTATTTATACAGAAAGAAATATCATTTGAAGTTTGTTTTCTGTGACTGGGCTACACCAGGTATTCAAGTAGGGCAAAGTTATTTGAGCTTTATGGTATGAAACCATTTAATTATAGTGAGACTTTTCACAGCTATGTCTCGAGATATTCAAAAATATTTTAATTGGTTTGTGAACATGATAAAGCCCTTCATATTAGCAACAAAATTAGGACCGCGGAAAACAAAATAAAGACTACTTGGAATATAAATGGTGACATACGTTAGCGGAGGATTTGTTTGCCTTCAGCAGTTTTTGTCGGCAGTCAAAGGCTTAATAACAAGACAGGTAGAAATAAATCACGTAACGCTGAATTTATTTTAAATACCGAAAATGGACGAATCAGTACAAATTCGAAAGTTGCCCAGGAATTTGAAAATTTCTTCAAAAATATACCGCTGAAAACTACGGAAGCGTTGAAAATCATCTCCAACTCTTTCAGTAGAGCTTCTTAAAAGTGATGTTAAAGAATGCCCTTCTGTTTTTCGGCTTCAATACACAAACCCAAGCAGACATTAAAGCGTTTAAAGATATGAAAGTTAAGTCGACTGAAGATCTGTGGGGAATGTCGGTTAGGGTGTGTAGGGCTTTTATAGAGACTATAGCGCCTTATTTAGCTTTCATTTTTAATAAAAGTGTAGATCAAGGACTTTTTCCAGATTTAATGAAACACAGTAAAGTAGTTCCATTGTTTAAATCCGGTGATAGCGCTGAACCCAATAACTATAGGCCGGTTTTTATTTATCAGTACTTAGTAAAGTGTTTGAAAGACTGATGCTTGTTCAGATGCTGCGTCACATAAATTCTATCTTTCATGATCAATAATACGGGTTCACCAAGGGACGCTGCACTACGGACGCGGAGGAAAACCAGGATGCAATTGGAATATTCTGTGATCTTTCGAAGGCATTTGATTTTAAGCACGAGACGCTTTTGCTGAAGCTGGAACACTACGGCATTATCGCTAAATCTATTAAAGTCATACCTTCGGGATAGGCAACTTAAAGTGCAAGTAAATAAGGTAAACTCACAGGGTGCTAGCATATTTATGGGTGTTCCGCAGGGCTCAATACTGGGTCCTTTCATATTTTTGGCAAACATAAACGACTTGCCCCATTTATTCCGGAATAAACCGCAGATGGTATTACTTGCTGATGATGACACATCACTGGTTTTTAAAATAAATAGACGAACAAATAATTATGACGATGTAAATAGTTCTCTCATGAAGGTTCAAAACTGGTTCACAATAAATCATTTAGTGCTGAATGATAAAAAGACAAAATGCATTAGATTTGTGTTGCCAAACGTTAAAAATAATGAATGTGACTAAATATTGAATAGTGAGAAATTAGAATTTGTAAAAGAGACTATTTTCGTGAGAATAACTGTAGACGACAAATTACAATGGGGTTCTCATATTACATCTCCAGCGGTACGATTAAGCTCTGCAGCTTATGCTGTCTGGAAAATCCGTCAGTTAACCGACATAGACACGGCAAGGCTAGTATAGTAGTATACTTCAGTTACTTCCATAGCATCATGTCATATGGCATTCTACTGTGGGGACACGCTGCTGACATTGAGTCTATCTTTATCTTGCAAAAGCCGTCAGAGCTATATACAGCCTAGGCCGTCGCGAATCTCTCAGGGTAACTTTAAGGAGATCAATATTATGACCGTTCCATGTCAATTTATTTATGGAAATACTAGCTTCTGCCCGCGACTTCGTACGCGCAATCGCGATATTTCCCGTTCTTGTTCTTGATTTTCGGTAAAAAATAAAAAAGTATTGGGTAAAAAGTATCCTATGTCCGTCTCCTGGTGCTAAGCTACGTCCCCACCAATTTTCATCCAAATCAATTTAGTCATTCTTGAGTTATAAATAGTGTAACTAACATGACTTTCTTTTATATATATAGATTATTATGTATGTTAGGAAAAACCTACATTTGTTTAGTAAAGTGTCTGACAGACACAATTATCAAACTAGACATAAGAATAGATTAAGTCCGCCATTTTTTAGATTTTCAAAAGTACATAAGTCCTTTTTGGGATTCAGTGTTAAATGTTATAACAAAATCCTCCAAGAAATACTGAATCAAAATGAAAGAAAATTTTAACTATGTATTAAAAAAACGTTGTGTAGACAAGCATACTACCAACTAAATGATTATATAGAGGACAAAAATGCTTTGAGGCAAGCTGGTCCAGCTCCGCAGGATAATACATGAAACACAGTGATGTTCAATGAATTATATTTATGTATGTAATAATTTAATCATGTTGCTTAAATGTCTGTTTAGTGTAAAACTTTGCACAATTTATTGTAAATGTGAGAGCCCTGCAATTAATTAAATTAAATTAGACTAGTAGAATGCATTTGTGTTGGCTTGGAGTTGTCTCACTCAAAGATCTCATTGGCGGTGGCACGTGCATAGGATCGCTTGATTCCCTACAAAATGGTTGAGTTGAATGGGCGCCGTCAATTGGGACTGGTCAGCTCCAGACTGTATGATTTTATGGTCCTCAAGGTTATTTTCTTTTTCAATCTCTTTGACTGCATTTAGGTGTTGCATTGTTCTCACACAATCGAACCAACAAAACTATGTAAGCAGAGAATTGTCTTGTAAACCCGATTGAAAAAGAGTAACCTATGGAATTTCTTGCTCGTTCTTCTCTATAAGAACCTTGAACCTATACACCTTGGAATGAGCAACTAGCTTCACTTCAAAATTTTTTTGTTGTTGATGTTCAAAAGTGCCTTTCTGGTCTAAGTGAAATAAATGATTTTGAGTTTGACTTTGACATTTCATGATAATTTAATGTTCAGATTTTTTAAGTTATGCTGAATTAAATTATCACTGTTACATGTTAATGTTCTCTGATTACATAAGGTTGATAATAATAGATACTCCTATAAGATTAGATAGTATATGTAGGTCTTACAGATACTGATAATACTTACAGTGTAACAACTCCTTTGTGGTGGGTGCTGGCACCTTAGCCGCTGCAACCCAAAATATGTCTTAGTTATACACTTTTTATTCCACTAGTGGGGTCATTTACAGCCATTAGAAAAATAAATAAATACTCATATTATTTATCATTTATCAGAAGTCAATTTAAGTATTTACAGTAAATAAATATTTTTCATTGTTAATTTGAACTGAGTCCCCTCAGTTCAATCAATGATTTCCATTATATAATTATTATATATACCACTCACAAAGCTGATAACTATTCAGTAACTATTAACTAAACCTTGTAATTGTCTTTCATTTATAATATTAGAAAATTAAATATAAAATTAATATTACAAATCTAATAGATATTAGAATAATATTTCTGTTACTCTTATTCACATGATGTGAATGATTGAAACAGATGAAATTGAAACATAATTTATAAATACCATTGACTGCAATCCTGGAGAAGCAAACAAAATGGGTAATCTATATGGGTAAGCAGCCAATGATATCATCACCTTAGCAACTAGTTAAAACTGGATTTAGTTGGCTTATGATCTAATTTCATACGCACCATACTTTTTCTTGAGCCAGTCATCTGGCACCTCACAGTAGGAACCTGTGGGGTCAACATCTCCTAATGTTGGTACTTTGCTTGGTCTCCCTAGCTTGCTGCGCCATCTTCTACCAGCTAACTTATCTAGAAAATTGTACAAATATTGTTTAAATCTTAGGACGCAAGAAATATGAAAATTATAAAGAAATTAGAAAATTACCTTCATAATCTTCCTTAATTCTAGTGGATTCGTACTGTTGTAAGGCGTGGAGTAATACTTTTCTTTCTTCATCATTTAAGTGTAGCACAAGTTCATTAGCGTGTAGTTTTGTCAAAGGACTAGTAATTTGTGATTGTGGCTGATCATCGAAATCCTTAGAAGTTGGTCCAAGCCCCAAACTTCTAATTTTAACCGCTGTAGGTGCTAATAACTTAAAATGTGAGTTTAATAAAGTGGCACTATGTCGCACCTGTAGTCTCGATGAAAAATCCAGACAACATATATTAAACCGATTTAGATGTGATACACTAAACCTAGTTAAGCCTTGTACTGCTTTCATGTTTCACTGTTAGTTGTAATAACCCAAAGAAAATGGGTAAAATATAATAAACAAATTCTATTCCAAATGAATGCGACGGTCTGTTTCACGGATACCACTGTCAAATAAATGCCAACGTCAACGTCAAATACATTGACAAATTAACAATGGTGACATTGACGGAACAGAATGCATGGAAATATTTTTAATTTCTTCAAATTGTACGTGTAAAAGGAACAACGTGATCGTCATGAAATCATTAATTACTAGCTGTTGCTCGCGACTTCGTCTGCGTAGAATATGACTCGTGTTTTATCTCATGGGAGCATTTAATCGTGATAAAAAGTATCCTATCACTTAGGTCAACCCATACCCGTTTGATATACACTAGACCCTACCACACATCAAAATCCGTTCAGTAGTTTTACAGAGATTGACGGAAAAATATCCAAACAACCAAACAAAGGAACTTTTACATTCATAATATTAGTGTGATTTCTCTGAACTTTGTGAATCAATTTTAATTTATATTTTGTAATAAATTATGTCACTTTTGGCTAAGTCATGGTACAGATAGAATAGAAAAATGTTTATACTTAAACATGATTTCAGGGGCTAAATGAGCACTCGATTGAAAGCTTTGTTTTTTTAGTTGACGTCTATACAAAAAGTACATAGCACTTACATACTGCTGAACATAGCACAATCGAGTTATACAGTGTTATAATTTTTCTATAATCGGGTTGTAGGTATGGCCTCAGTGGTATGGCCATGGCACACAGATATTATTTATTTATCTTTATCAGTGCTATGGCAATTGGCAAGCTCAATCTGATTATTGACAGGTTGACTATAGAGCAGCTGTTAATATTTGACAGAATTTTTGACAGATTCAATCATTATCATAATGTTACCACTATGTTCAGATTTTCCTTGCTTCAGGGAATTTTAGAATCTGTGTGGAAAATTAAACTTAATTTTAGATTACAGAAGTCAAACCACACTTACCACAATTTGATACGTGAAAAAGTATAAATCGAACCATTTCAATCAAAAGAGCTAAGAAAGCTCCTTTGACTTCTCCGAAAACAATTTCTGTCTGTATAATAAAAGTTGAAAAAGTATAACTGTACTCTGTGAATAGGACTCTCAAAAACTGTTGATGGCAGCATTGATAAAATTTGTCCTAAACTATATGGTGAAAATTAATGTTATCTTTATCTTGCTAGTTTGTGCGGCACGAGTGGCATAAAGTTTAATAACACTCAATTCATTTTTATATGAATGGGTAGATTGCGCAATAAATTCTAAAATTGCCGAACAAAGTTCATTACGGCTTTACCGAAACGTGACATAATATCGGCGATAAAGGACGACAACAACAACAGAGGTGTTAGGTCAATGACAAACATTGGGACTGTTAAAGGCGAAAGTGAACCGCAAGACCGTGTGAACTAGTGGGACTAACAGCAGAGACCACGATGCACGATGTTGGAGGGATTAGTAGCATGGGTTCTGAACAATTATCTGGGGAAGTACGTGGAGAACTTGAACACGGATCAGCTGAGCGTAGCTCTCTTGTCGGGTATGTTCATATAGTGGCGCTGCACTCTACTGCGTACATGTCCTCTCGAGTATATTTAGATGTTACGTTATTAAGATGAAACAAGAGCCATGACTTACAGTATGGTACAGTCTTATTGCCTAATGAATGGTGACATTAGGCAGTCTAAAATACTGTATCATCTAATACTACAATTTTTTAAAATGATGTTTTAGACTGTGTGGTAAACAAAAGTGTTTAATTGTCCAATAGACACTGGTATATGACATAAGACATGTAAATAAACAAAAATTTGAGATTTTTAGAATTCATTTAAAAAAAATGTGATATCATATTCATATAATAAATTCTTAAAGATATCAGTATTTTCTTCACTACATTGTATAAAACTAATAAGTCGCTTTCTGTTGTCTGTCTATTTGCTGCCTAAATCTTTAAAGTCACACAGTTGATTTAGATGAAGATTTTTTAATAAATATAATTTTAGAGGATTTTTGAGGAAGGTTTATATGCATAATAATAGCTCCCAATGTAACACTCTGATTAGTTGGGGACAAAAGCTAGTGTAAGAGATATAGCTTTCTAATAAGATATAACTCTGTGATTAAATGTTGGAGGATATATGACAAACTTATATTGTAAGATGTCAGTGCCCCATACAATAGTAAGTGTTAGGCCACAGTAACATCATCTATATCCTATACTTGCACTAACTACTTCATACAAAATTGTCTTTTAACCCATTATCTTATGGGACTACACCACTACTACCAGGAAGAGACCCTATATACAATGTAATGACATTGCCTAGCGTGGGAGTCAAATGTCCTTTTTCTTTTAAATGAGATAATCCCGACTCTACCTCCCAAAACTGCTGCAACTCCTGTAAGCCAGAATCTACAGTAGATTCAACCATGAAAACACCGGAACACTGAAGTCTGGCACGTCCCAGGGACATGAGTAACTGTCTTGGTTCCCGCAACGAAGTGAATCAGAAGATATTATAAGAGGATAAGAAAAAATAAACAATAGTTTCCACTTCCCTCGGTCAACAAACATATCTAATATATAAATAAATAAATAATTTGTTTATTATTTCTTCAATTAAAGGGAAGGTGGAACTAGAGAATCTCCCCCTGAAGAAAGATGCCCTACGCCACCTCGGCCTGCCAGTCGAGATCAAAGCAGGATTCATTGGGAAAGTCCAACTCCAAGTACCAGTGCGGCAGATCCGATCAGCTCCATGGCTGATAGCCATCGAGAAGCTATACCTAGTAGCAGCACCAATCAATTTGGATGAGGTTTGTGAATTACCGTGTATAAATAGTACTGTTGTGTTTTGTCAATAGAGTCTATATTGTTGCAATACAGTGCCATTATTTATGGTATTTACAAATTTTTTTATTTACAATATTAAACTTTATTATCAACACCCATTCAATGTTGATAATGAAGTGTTATCATTTTAATCTGATATGGATATCCTTAGGTGACACAATTGAACATTGTAAAGCGGTAAATTATTGAACAGTAACTACTGACAGATATTTTGTCACATCCATCATCTCCTTCCCGAAAGTGCAGCAATGTTTTGCTATGTTATCTAATCACTGCTCAATATTTGTTGTTCCAACCAGACACAACTGTAATATTTCTTGTGTCTAATATAAAATTTGGATGAACTGATAATAATAACATAGATAATGGTGACACAAACATGGAATGTCAGTATACTATTTTTTTATTTTAAGCACAATATATTGCTGAGAGTGGTTTTTAAATGGTTTTATTCTGCTAATTTGATGTTTGTAACAGTAGATAAAAGATTACAGTGATATACATATGTTAATAATATTTTTTTTTGGTTGATTTTTTTTTCTTATATTTTATCTTTATAAATAATATATGACTATATGATCTAGTGTATTGACACTAGATCAGATATCAGGATATAAGAGTAAAAGGATTGGATAATAAATATAAGCCTACAATTTCAAATTACAAAATCTGTTGTGAACCCTAAATTGTTTATTTATTTAGATAACTAATAGTTCTTGGAAGACTTACTGCTGCTAAAAAAGAATAAAAACAACAATAGGTGTAGGTATCAGTATCAGTGAACAAAGTGCATGTCATACTCATCACTTTTAATATTATGAATTAATTAGTTAGTATGGTGGGAGTACAATACAAATTTAAAGAGATATATAAGTTAAATGGAAGGATGGAATACAAAAAAACACAGACCCAGCAGATAATATGATTACAAAACAGAAAAAAAATTATGCATAAGCACCTTTTTGCCACCTTTTTTTATGGGATTAGCCGGTTAACGTGCAGACGGATCACCTGATGGTAAGCAATCGACGTCGCTCATAGATACCCGAAACACCAGGGGTGTTACTTTTTTTCGCGCCCTTTGAGAATTGGGAATTTGAGGATTGTGGGGGATTCGGGGATTATGATTTTTTTGGATGGGGGGGGGGGATAATTGGGCCTCCTGTAACCTCATTTACACAACGCAAGCGTTGTTTCACGTCAGTTTTCAGCGAGTTGTAAAAGGATCGATTTCGAAAGAGATTTCGGCCTGCATGATGAGAAAAATAAATGGTTTGTGCAGTGGGACTGCTCGGTGGAAGCGTCGATAGCGCACGAGCGCAAGACGGCGCTTCTGGACGCGCTGGAGGCACAATGGCGCGCAGAACACGAGGCCGAGGACGCCGGCTACTACGCTACCTCCTACTCATCCTGGCTCAGCTACGGCACTGGGCTTCTAGCCAACATCGTCGAGAATCTCCAAGTAATATTTCTATTGTACATACAAAACAAGCTCTAAATGATTAGTTAAGACGCTTTATGTACGAATTTCAATAAAGTCGAAGAAAAGACAAAGCATTTACTTCAATTATTCCTTAGCTATGCACTTTTGAAACGTCAAAAATTGAATTGTCCGTCCGTCTGTCTGTCAGTGAAGCTAAGCGCTTAAACTAATCTTAATATGCATTTTATTGTATCGTAATACTATGTTATTTAGTTGAAACTGAACGACGTACACATCCGCTACGAAGACGCAGTAACGTGCGCACGTCCATTCGCGTGCGGGCTGACGGTAGAATCACTGTGCGCCGAGTCGTGCGACAGCGAGTGGCGCCGCGGGTTCACACTACTCAGCGACCCCGACGGCTGCTCCTTCAAGCTGCTCGAGCTGCACCACCTCGCCGTGTACTGGGACCCCATGCCCGTGCCCACTGGCATGTTCGCCAACTGTACCATCGCGGAACTAACGGTAACGCAGCGCGCCGCATGACGGTAAGTGAGGTTGGGGACTGCCCAATGACAGGGACCCGCGGCGGTTGCAGGGCCGCATGGGGCAGACGTGGCGCGGCGCGCACCGCTACGTGCTGCGGCCGGCGTCGGCGCGCGCGCGCGTGCGGCGGGAGCGCAC